ACTAATGGCTAATGTAACGGATTGTGCAGAGGAGAAGGAAGCAGAGACACAGAGCATTCCGCAGCGATATGAGGTGCAACAGACGTTAGGAGAAGGTACCTTTGCCATTGTGTACAAAGCAATGGATACCAAGAACGACAATCGCGTAGTAGCCATCAAACGAATCAAACTGAGTGAGTCGGAGGAGGCGAGGTAGGTTCACTGCATTCGGAGTTGTATATTAATATGTCTCAAATACAATGGAATGTCGTTTATTTGTCGCATATATTTTAAATGTCGTTTATGTGTACATCTGTGGACACCTTTGAGGCGCACCAGGATGTTACATTGGGCATAGTTGTGTGACCGTGAGAGGCGTGTCGTGGTGTTATGAATATTATGTACCGAACATTCGGCCCCGAGAAGTACAGTCACATGGTAATTTTAGGGTTTAAAGGTTTACAGTATTAAGCCTAAAACTCTAAAACCCTATCAGTCGCTTCAAACTGTGCTTTTCTGAGGATGCATGGTATGCGAGATGTGTACTTGTGCATATGCCTCTGAAGTTCGGCACAGTATCATATCGTGTTCTATTTTTATACACCGGAGAATTGGGGTAAAGAGCTCAAAGTAGCGTGTAACGGGCACCAGACACGTAGGTCATCGATTGAGTGGTAAGCGTTAAACGTATTGCGCTCAGTAACTGCCGAGTGGAGGAGAAGTATGGGTGATGTGTGTTTGTGAGTGTACCTGTGAGATTTAGTGCATCAACGGATTGCTCCTGTTTATACCTCTTGGGACTGTGGTCGGCCACTTGGCATCAATTAGGACATTCTTAGAATGGCTGTGAATGGAAGGTTACGTTTATATTGGAGGTATGATAAGCTATCATAGGTATACGTATGTACTGTACGTAAACGTATGTATTGTAGGTATCCGTATATATTGGAAGTACACACACATTTATATATATATATAGTATACATATATGTCGTAAGTATACGTATTATTGTACGTATAGGTATATTTTGAAGGTACTCATATATATTGCAAGACGCACACACACACACATATATATATATATATATATAGTATACATATATATCGCAGGTGTACATACAAGTATACATGGCTATTGAATCTGCCACCATTCGCATCACAGGAATGGCATTGACCACGGCGCATTGAGGGAAATCCGCTACATGCAGGAGGTCACCCACGTCAACGTATTGAAGGTACGTTTGCCAACCGGAAAGACCTTTCCACAAACGCACATGTGTGTACATGAAGTACGTGCATGTGCTGCGTTCAGCTATGGAACAGTGGTGTGGTAGTCGTTGGTCCGTGTCTACCATGTCTGGTTAACGTGCAATCGTTCCGCTCACTTGCTGCTACATGAGAGCGACGGAAAGTTGCGCTCTCCTGTGTCACACGACACCTCAGTGTGTATTCTTGCATGTCTATCTCTTTGTTATGTCCCATCCGCTCTTTCACCCACAGTTGCTGGATGTGTATGGTCATGGCAATGAGATGAGTGTGGTGTGTGATGTTATTTAATTATGTGGATTCTTGCATGTCTATCTGTGTGTGATGTCCCATCCGCTCCTTTCTTTCACCTACAGTTGCTGGATGTGTATGGTCATGGTAAGGAGATTAGCTTGGTGTTTGATTTCATGGTGACTGATCTGCAGAAGATCATCAACGATCGCAGTTATCTGTTCTCACCCGGTGATGTTAAGTCGTACATGCTACAGACCATGACAGGCCTCGAGTGCCTGCACGCCAACTGGATATTGCACAGGGTAAGTCATCTGTGTATGTGGTGATGCTTTGTTCCTATTCATATATATGTGTGTGTTTGTGCTTCGTTTGTATTTAAATTTATATGAGTTTGTTCTTCGGTTGTATTCATCCATGTATGTGTTCATGGTTCGTTTGTATCTATGCATTGTTGCTTCGTTTTTAGGTAGGCATATCATAGGTAGGCCTATGCTATTTCATTCATGTGTCGAGAATTCGTCCCCCGGGAGTTTAGTGTGTTGTTCAAGTTCACCTGGTCACAACTAAGGATGTCAAAGGTCGATGTTACAAACATACTCTGAATAATCTGTGTGATAGATGCTTACATACAGCAGTGAATGTCTTTATAAAGTAGGTGTATCTACGTGTGCACAAAATAAATACCATCAAGGTAAAGAACCAGCACAGGCACGAAGCGAAGACATACTTGTAGAGGTGCCTGGATGCAGACCACAGCAGATGCCAGAACATGCACTTCCATTAAATGTA